ACCTAATAATGACCAAATGACCAAATGCCTACTATGCAAGTACGTTGTGTCATTCAAAGCTCGGTAAAAGGGAAGTATGATGATCCCCATTTTACAAATGAGAAAATGACACCAAGAGGAAGAACGACTGACCACAAGAACTGACAGAACCAGTTTTGCCATTCAGATGTGTGAGACCCATGCCCAGGTCTTAACCACCTCATTACAGGAATGAGGCTGTGTCCATGATGGGCCCCGCATGCAGCCAGGACCCAGCTAACAGGGAACTAAGGGGATCCCTGTACCTTAGGGGCAGGGCACATATATCTCAATGCTGTGTGCTTACCATTTAGGGTGGAGAAGATTTTTAGTCCAATTCTCACTTCCCCTCATTTTACAAATGGGACAATTGAAGCCCAGGAGGGGAAATCACTTTACAGACTCCCTAAAGTCTGAGGCTCAACTTCTCTCCTCTCCGTCCTGTTTCAGGAGGCAGAGTTGGTTTGGAATGCAGCTCTGGAGTTGGACACCTCCCTGACTGTATAAATGGCCACGCCTCTGCGCTCCGGTTTTCCTATTCTGTAAAAAGGGCTGTTGGGAGGCTTAAGCAAGATAACAGTAAGCACTTAAAAATCTCAGCTATTATCACTATTTGTGCCATGATGGAAATCAAGTGGCTGGAGGCTACTGTCTGCATATCTTTGTCCTCCCTTCCTTCTATTCGGGCACTTCTCACCTCTATACAGTTTTTCTTTTCCTGCAACACCAGTCCCATTAGTACATCTAAACCCAAATGGACAACGGTTCCCAGGTGTAACCACAGCAACCAGCCATCCCCCCACTCCCCCCCAGCCCACTCCCAAGCCATAGAATCTCAGGCCTGGCACTCCTGTCCTCCATTGTTGGCTGCCCTCTTGGAACGAATAAAACCAATTAGGGACAGACACTTAAAGCTCTTTCGGAGGCAGGATGGCTCAGGCCCAGCTGCCCTGAGGCGGCCCTTGAAATGCCAGCGAGCCAAGAGGCCTGCCAGCTGCGCAGCTCCTGGGGCCCACGGGCTGGCCTGCCCCCTCCAGGGAACACAGGCCCTTTCAGAGCGACTTAGAGCTCCATGTTCAACATGCAGCCACCAGCCACACATAGCTATTTCAATTCAGATCAAGCAAAATTAAGTAAAATTAAAAATTCAGCATCTTGGTTCATACTGGCCGCATTTGAAGAGCCCAGTAGCCACATGGGGCCAGTGGCTACAGTTTTAGACAGTGCAAATCTAGAGTGAGGTTGGCAAACTATGGCCCTTGACCTAAGAGTGATTTGTACATTTTTTTCAAGGGAAGCTGGCAAGGGGAGGAGAGGAGGAAGAGGAGAGAAAGGAGGGACAGCTGCAACAGCAACAACAACTGAAACTTACTATCTGAATGTTTATAGAAGTTTGCCGACCTTGCTCTAGAACATTCCGTCACCACGGAAAGTTCTCTTCTATTGGAAAGCACTGACTTAGAGGACAAACAAGAGGCAGGGATGGGAGACAACGGGTCCTCCTTTTCTCGTAGGAGGATCATCAGTAATAGTGGCTAGCACTTATTAAATACCACTGTGTATTTAACACCAAACGCAGGGCTTTCCATGCACTGCCGGTTTCATGCTCGCATCAGCCCAGTGTGGGATGGACAGGTGCCATGTTGCCCACTTTATGGACAAGAGCCATGTGTGAGCATGACAGTGCCACAAAGCAAAATAGCCAGATCAGCCGAACCATCCAGTATTCAGAAACCACAGGCAAGAATAAAAGACAAGAAGCAGGGCCGGCCCGGTGGCGCACTGGATAAGTGCGCCGCTTGGGAAGTGTGGCGGCGCTCCCGCCCGAGGGTTCGGATCCCACATATGGACCGGTTCCCGCTCACTGGCTGAGCGAGGCACGGGGGCAACACCGAGGGTTGCAATCCCGTTGCCGGTCCCCGGTCCGGTACGGGGGCAACACTGAGGGTTGCGATCCGTTGCGGGACAGGGAAAAAAAAAAAAAAAAAAAAAAAAAAAAAAAAAAAAGACAAGAAGCAAACACACTCAAAA